AGGTTTTACTTTTATCTTTGCATTCTGATTAATAGCAAAGAAGAACATGACCCACACTTGAGAACACACATACACCTCCATCTACAAAACAGCCTATACAGACTAAAGCAGCACAAGCTAAGTTCTAAAGTAGCATTATGTAAAAAACATCAACAGGGTAGAAACCTAGCTCATCCAATGTATCTGAAAACTTTTTTTCCTCCCATGCTTGGCCCTAGTTTAGCTGGTATGCAAGGAAGTTTGGCTCTCCTGCAGAGAGGAGCAGCTTCTACAGATCAAGATTTTGGAGAGAACAAAGGTGCATTTTACTGGAGCTGACAGAGGCACAGTGCCACACATATTCTTCATGCTTAGATCTATTTAGACTGTGTCCCAGCTGCTGAAGGAGGGATGCGAGGTGAGGACAGGAACCCATCCATACTCCCTACAAGTGTTGCACAGTTTTACCGCTTGCCAGTTAAGCTAGCAACGCGGTCTCGATACAGACCACTCGAGTGAGGGATTCAGAGGACGCAAGACACACCTACTTTTGATTCATTGCCAGCTCAAAGGTGCTACACAGCATAAACTGGCTAAACTCCCACCTTGTAGAACTGAGATGAAAAGGGTCTTACTTTTAATGGACAAATTTTCTACAAGACAGTTTGAGAGACCACATTCCAGAGCTTTCCATCTCTTCCTCCTCTACCCCCCCAGAAGAAGAGACAAGCAAACACATTTAAGTTAGTACGTATTTGTGTAAACACCAGAACATTTTGCTATATGATAGAAAAAAGTTGCTGCTCTTATGTTCTTAGAGAAGCCCTGAAGACCTTGGAATACCTGTATCCTGCAACTATTAATCTGTACCACGTGTATTTCCTGCTTTGTACACAAACTGAAAGCAAGCTTAAACAATAGTAAATAGCAACCACACTCCTGCAACAGGTAAAAACGCCCTGTTGCAACTGCTTACTCCTTCACTTTCGATATGTAGTCAGCCAGTTTGTTGATACTATCCTCTTGCTGTTCTAGAGCATCCAGTATGATGCCCATCGGGGTCTTCTTCAAGCCTATTCCTTCCATCTTGTTCTCCAGCTTGTTCTTTATGTTCCGGAGCCTCAGAGAAGCATGGACAAACATCACTGCACGACAGAAATGCACTTATTAATTGTTAATGCCAAAGGAATGCATAGTTCTTGCATCGTTCATCTTAAGACATGCTCCAGCGCCATGACGTCACTGGAAGATGATGAAGTCTCAATGACTGCTTAAGTAACCACAGGTACCCATTTAATATAACACTAAAGATGGCTTGTGCTGTTTTGTGTCCACTCCTCCCCAATTTTGTTTTGGGATCATTTAAATAGTAAAGGCAACAGCCAATTGAGACTGAGAAAGCTCAAGTCACATGCCCCTAGCCCCCCCACAGAAGAGGAAAAATACTTACAGAGGAGAGGAAGCGTGATCCCAAACATGAACACCATGACATCTCCCAGATAGGAGATCAAGAAGTAGCTAGACAGCATGATGACCACTACAAATGTGGTGGGGTACTGCTTCTTCAGCCTGCGGAGTATATCCTTGTTGTGCGATACCCACACAAACGCCATGAACACCATATCCAGAAACCATTCTTAATGGAATGGAGTTAGCACAAGCTGAGATCATTCTTTAGCCTTGGGAGCAAAAAAAAAAAAAAAAAAAAAAAAAAAAAAAAAGAAAAAGTGTCCCGTTTCAGAGCCTTCATGACTTGTGTCCAGATAGCAAACACCCAGTTCACTGGTAACTTGTTACTAGGGAGGTAAGGCATTAAGAAGTCAGTTGTTGCTGTCAAGACCTTTACCAACCTCTGATTTTTTCAGCAGAAGCTAAATAAAGCAACAAGTGCAACTGAACAAGCAACCCGTAGCAGCGAATTTAGATAAGCTTTGTCTTTATGTTCTCTTCCTGAGCACAGCTCTGGATGATGAGTTTCTGCAGCACCTCATCAATAGCAGCATGTACCACCAGGACCCCTCCTACCTATGCAATCAACACGTTCACTTGGTATCAGACCCAGAGTCAGCAAAACCCAAGAGCAGATAGAGCCAACAATCAGCTGCCCAAGGGATTTTTGTCTTTCAGATGAACTAGCTTTTCATGTTATCTTGTCTAGGTTTGGAAAATGGGACAAGTAGGGGAACACTGAGTAAAGGAAGTTACTTCACTATTATTTGTTTCTGAATAAACCTTCTTATTGGCTTACACCCAAAGTAATTTTATGAACCTGCAGAAGGAGCTTACTACCGTCAGCACGACAGATGGCAGCCCAGGCCCAAGCAAGAGCGCCTGAGAGTCACAAGGAACCGGAGCATGGGATAAAGGTCTTGCAGGAAGAAGAGCCAGGCCTGGCAAGAGGGTCACTGCTGAGGTTTGTGTTCTATTATTGTTATTGGCGTTACCAAGCAAACCAAGCCATTGAGTGGATCAGCTTTGGACTATAAACAGCAAGTCCCTTTTTTTGGACCAGGGCAAGAACATCACCTGCTCAAACCACTTTCCCAAGTATTTAGAGCTTGTTTAGAGTCAAACTTTCAGCAATGACTTTGCTTAGCTTGTTTCTCTACTTGTACAAAGTCCAGGCTCTATTATATTTCACTTGTACAGTAATAAGTTATGTGATTTCATGTGCATTCTGATTTACTTGCTTGTATGTGCACCAATCTAATTACACAGCAGCCGAGGGCTCTGAGCTGCTACGACTCTTGACAGCAGCAATACGCTGCCCTGATAAAGCCGGATGTAGTCAAGGCTTCCTCTTGCAGACTCTGCAGTCAGTCTTACTGCTCCAAAGCTACCAGGCACGATGACTCACCGCTCCACCCCACTGCTGAGGAGGATGCTCTGGTTTGTGGTCTGTGCTTCATATCCGGCACAGGCAGAAGAAATCTGTTGCTGGACTAGTATGCCAACACGCTACCTGCAGTGCCAGAGAGCATTCTCCTAGAGAAGGAAGAACCCCCAAGAGTTATTTCAAAGCAGAGACTGGCTCTTGATTCTTGAAGTCAGCTGTGCTAACAGGAGACAGGACGACTGGCTGGAAAGAGAAATTTCAGACTTGCTCCCCACCTGCTTCTGCTACTCACGCTGAAAAGCCAACAGGGCTTTTTGGAAGTGGTGATAGGGCAGACTTGCTTGTTGCATCTGAGTCACTCCCTGTAGCCAGCCAGATTATATTTAGCTCTGAATTGCCAGTCTTAAATTTCCAGGCTGGAAAAAGTGAACAGCATTGCTCTGGAAAGAAAGCAGCTTCATTTGTGCTCCTTTGCAGCAGGAGAAGGAGGGCAACTCATGTCTGGACCACACTACTGCCTGGCCTATATATGTACTACTGGACATAAAAGATTCTTCAAGTAGAAGTCACCTCCACATCACAGCTATCTTGGAGCAGAAAAGGCCAGACTTCCTCAGACAACTCACAGCAACCAATTTTTTGTTCCCCAAAAAAATCTATGGACAAAACAATCCTGGAAGCAACAAAAGGCTAGGCAGAGCTCTCATACTCCATGTGTCTGGCAAATATTCTCAAATATTTATCTTCCTTACCCTTCCCTCTACTCTCATTGCAACTTCAAAAACTGGTGGTGAAGAGCAACCCCTCCATATTTCTAAGGAAGAGACCGAAGACATCTCTGCTCTACACTTCTTTCTGGTATTACACAGGTTCTGTATAACTGACTGGCTCTAAGGGATGTGGGAGGGGGAAGAAAAGTATTCAAAAGATCCCAGTTTCCTGGGGAAAGTTATTTGAATTACATGTTTTCTGAGGTGGGTGGCATTCCAGCACATACAAGGAAACAGTGAACATACGTATCTAATGAAGTCATCCCGAGCCACATGAAAACAGATGGGGATGGCAGTTGCCACTAAAAACTGGTATTCAAACTATCAGCCATGTGTCCACAGACTTCAATACTGTTGATTACAGTACTGGATAGGGTGTCATTTGCCAAGCTCCCCTTTATTGCTTGACTTGCCCACAGCATAATTCACAACACTACCTAGGACTCTCCTAGAAATTCATATATAGAAACTTCTACCCCAGCAACAGCATTTTTCAGGAAGGCAGACCTCCATTAGCCAGTTTCGCTCAGATCTGTTGGCACGCTGCTCTCGATAACACAATAGCTAAGGACTAAAAAGGAAAAAACATGGACACGTTATTTTAGAACACCAGTGTCAGGGGAAAAGAGAGCTCTATAACAGCCCTAGAAGTCACCTTACAGTTGAACCACCAACATTGATATTGGCCTTATTTATACAGAGATCAGAACACAATAAGCCAAATTCATGCTCAGGCAAGAAGGCTGGAAGTCTTTCAAAGCTGCAGAGACGAGGTAAGTGACCAGCCATTAAGTATGTTACAAGACCTTCTAAATGTAATTCCCTTTACTGGGGGTTTAAGAGACTTCTCAAACACCTAAAAATCTAATGCACGGAACTATTAGCACGGCAATGGTGTGATAACTTGAGTTTATACTGCTCAGATGACTTGGGGGAAGAAAAACTCCTCTGGGGTTGGAGGAGAAAACCCACTAACTTTCATGACCCTGAAAGGAGTCAGTACGGCAGGACTAAATAGTACTTGGGGGTGCTACCAGCCCAGAGCACCCTAGCTGGATGATCTTCTGCACTGCTCTCTTTCATGGACAAAGTACAACCTTGGTAGGATGCTGTGACCTCCAGTACAGCTGGGACAAACCAGCATGGAAAAGCTGTCACCTAAGATTCAGTTCCAGCAGTGTTGCAGGGCAACTTGCAGTTGCACTCCTGCTGCCCTTCGGAGACCAGGTTTTCTTCAGCAACTGCTTCAATTCAAAGTAAAGACAGGGAGACAATAAATAAAACAAACATCCTGCCTGGCTTCAGGCTGCAGGGACACTGGCACTGTCCTGTGCCAAGTAGCACCGTGGGACACTTTGTTTTTGTTGAAGTAGTATCAGAAGACAGCAGAGATGCAGCAGCTGGGGGTGCGGCTGTGTGGGAAAAAATACTGCTAGCAAAGCAGCTACCTCTGGCCAGCAAAAGCAGATTAAGATGAGATTCCTTTTGTATTTTTTACTGGATTCATTTTTCGGGACTCTGCCCTACATGCATCACAAGACAGGTTAGACTTCCCATACAGGTGCAGGAAAGCTCCAAAAGCTCTCCTTTCAGTGAATTACCACATCACCTCTTCTCGACAGGTTATTTCATATCTGCACACTTGTGCACAGCCTTATAGCAAGAGAGGAGAGCAGTTACCTGGAGAATATATAGCTATAGCACAGGGAAAAAAAGAGCTAGGCAAGACACATCCTTCATGCAAAACAAGAAGCCTCCAGCAGCGCGAACCCAGAAATAGGACAGGCTACATAAAAAGCAAAAGCAAGCTAGTTCCATCCTTAAATCACCTCCATTTTAGCTGACTGCCTCAGGGCGATTATTCAGCAGTTGCTGGCACATCTGTTTCTTTGCATGTGACCAGGCAAGTCTGAACAAAGCCACTGAGTAGGAGAGTTGCAGTTGTTGAGAACACCATCTTTTTACTTAGAGCAGCATAGTTAGGCCATCACATCCAATAAGGTGAAAATTCCCTTTTAGAAAACCTTTTGTTCCACCATGTTCCAAGCTGTGGGCAGGTTAGAGCACTTAAATGCTTCCTTCCACATCTGTATTAACTTAAATAACTTAAAAGATAATGTTCTGCCTCTTCTCTCCCCATACTTCTAACTTCACTGAGGTTATACAGCTGTAACTAGAGGTAGCACATAAAACTATATACAGCATGTATATACACCAGGTGATAGCCCTCAGCATCCACAGATTTAGCAATGCTTCTTCACTTACTGTTGCTCACTTACATTGCTTTGAGAACAGGAGACAGATTCCATTCCTCAGAACTGCCAGACCTTTACGAAGTTATGTACTAATATTATTATGCAACATATGCTTTAAAGCCATGTGTTTTGCTCACTCAGTTGTTCATTAGGCATTAGAGGAACCAAGCATGTTGCTGCTCTGGAGTCTTCATTTTGGCAAGTGAATCACTACAAGCATGTCAGCTAAGGTAGTGGTCTGGGGCAGAGAAAACAAAAAAAAGAAACCACAAAAAAAAACCACCCCCACATTCATTGATTGCTAGGGGTTTTAGAGAAAAAGTGGCAAAGGAAAGAGACATCGAACCTCAGGCTGCAGGGAAGACATTATGCCAGAAGAGAACAAAGACTCTCTTCGATGCAGCACTCAAAATCCAGTACTCCTTTTAATACTGTCAGAATTAGAAACCATTTCTTTTAGCAAGCACATGGCAACAAAAGCCTACAAGAAACTACATCAATTTAAGCAGTTAAGTTTGAACTGTAAGACAGAGAAGCCTTGTTGGAGTAGGTGAAAGCACAGACAAATTCCACTTCTTAACCAGACTGAATGTTTGAGGGAGAGTTCCAAGCTGTTGTGGGAGGCACTAATTTTGATAAATATCTGTACAGCACTCACAATGACAGGGCCCTGGCTCAGGGTAAGAATGGGCAGTCCAGTTCTTATACAACTGGGAGAAAGGGCACAATTTGATTTAGTAAAGGTCTTATTTTTTAATCAGCAGTCTACTGCAACAGAGCTGTAGGGGAAAAAACCACACCAGCACACTAGTTCAGATTCGTTCCTAAAGGAACTGGCAGGGCAGGGAGGGTGGAAGAGACAAGGCTGCCACCACTAGCCTGTAGTACTAGAGTGGCACTAATTCAGTAGTTTTAGTTTCTTGCTCACCAATTCATTATTTTCTACTTAGTCATGTAGGCTGCAAGTAAAATTTACATGATTGCAAAGCACACAGTATCATTTACATGTAACAGTAGCTATCGGGGAAGGCAAATGGAGGGAGGAAGGCGGGGAAATGATGCAGCAGAGACCATTACAATTCCACTGTGCTCACCGTAAGGTTATTCCATACCTTGCAGAGAGATGGTAAAAGGCTGGAGAGGTCAACTTTGTTGTACGAGAGGCAGTAAACTGAAGCCGTGGCAATAAGCATTGTACTTCCAGTGTCAAAACAGCTCTAGGCTACAATTTCCACATCAGCCCAGCACCACCACAGCTACCAAGTATTACAATAGCTGAAAACATGCTCTTGGCATTACAAGTTTGTCTATACAATTAGATGGTTTAAGAGCAGGTAGAGTTGGTCATGGGCTAAGTTTAGTTTTGACCACGGAAAGACCACTGCACTAGCGGTTTCAATAATCCTGCCCTTAGGCCTGTATACAGCCCTGGAGTTCCTAAAAAGCCGTGATTCATCATTTATCACTCAGGGATTCCTGCCCATTACGGAATGAAGTGCAAGACAACAGCTTAGTCATAAATTTAAATTTATCAGGAGAACTTTCTCCCAAAGCCTAGCCAAGTAAAAAAGTATTTTCATTAAAACAAATGCATAGTTTTTCTCTGCTGAAGTGCTTTTCTGTTTCCTTTAGAGTTCTTCTCCCACCCTCTTCAGTGTTAGAAGAATCAGATTTGTCATATATCAAAGGCTCTAAGACATGCAATAAAAAAATATTTGAGATCAAGATCCTGCTCCAGGTGCTCCTCATCCATAAGTTTTCAGCTCAGAGGGTTACCACTCAATATTATGATAGTGGAAGTGCAGTTCTGATATTAATCTCTGTAGATTGTGGCTCTCGCTCCTCCACCTCCCAAAACTCCACCCTAGCAAAGTAATGGGAAATAAGCAGGAGATACATCACCTTCGATCTGAAGAAGAGAGATCAGAGTTTGAAAGGAGAAAGGAATTTACACGACTGAGTAAAAGCTGCTGTCATCCCACTTTTCCAACCAGAAATATCAAAACTGTTTATATTTCCCTCCCCCACCTTCTTGGGGAAGAGAGCTGTCCCCCTGTTTTCCAGGGCCACTGTGATTTACTTACTCATTTAGAGCTGGCTACAGCATCACACTGCTAAACAAGGGCAGATGAAGATAGATGATTAGACCAAGACGGTGTAACAACAGGAAGACCATTGAAGTTCAATACACTACTAGACTGGTAAAGTGAGCTGACCGCAACATACTGCCACGAAAATTAAGAAGAAAGCCTATGCCACTATGCCAAACCTTTAACCATCATATGCACCAAGAAGAAAAAGCTGGGTTCTCAGCCCCTCCTTTCACAGAATGCAGGCCAAAACTCTCTGCAACCCAGAGAACCTTCACCCACTTAGCTGCTGGGTCCCTAACTTCAGAAGCCCTAACAGGATTCAGACTGCCTAACAACATCAACAACAAAAATCGATCTAGGGGAAGAATTTTAAGACTCTGCAACATACAAGATAAGACGCACTTCAGCCAAAACCACTCTGGCCTAGCCGCTGGGCAATTCTCCAATTCAAGCATTTGCACATTGTTTGTTGTGAAGAGTAGAATATTCCAGTTTCCATATTAAAAGCTTAATCATCGGCCTCTGCTGCAGGTCTTGCTTAAGAGCTTTCTGACCAAAGGCCCTAGAGCAATACTGGAAGAAGAGTCACAGCAGCTTTGACTCAAAAGATGATTATAAGGTTGCTTCCCAGTTCTCTTCAGGAAAGGTGGGCCTGACAGAACATCACACCAGCAGACGGTGCTGCCTCAAAGGCCTCAATGCTGCCCACCAAAACGAAACGAACAGGGACCTTATTTATTTTATATTAAAGGTTCTGCAGTATGAGCTAGCTCAGAAATAAGAACGGCTTGCTCTGTCCCTCGGACATAAGCTTAGAACTGTAACAGAGAGCAGAATTAATCTTTTTTCTTTTTGTTTTTTTATCTCAGAGGGTTGCCTCTCTCGGCTCAAGCAGCAGCACCAGACAGACTGTGCGAGGAAGCGCAGATGACCGCACAGGATGCAGCTCAGCTCTTCC